TCTTACGGCATCTGGGTCTGCAACGAGTCCAACTCAGCCCATTCAGCTGCGTGACTTGCAAAGTATCTTGGCTAGCATGACTGTTCCTGCTACAGCAGAAGGGACAGGACAGCAGGGTAAGGATCTAATTTTAAGATTTTCACAACATGTAGCAAATAAAACCTTTGGCATTTAAAGTTTTGGCAAAGATTTGTAGCTCGGGTTGTGGACGAACTTGTTGACTTGCTTGCCAAGCTGCCTTGTTTTTGTTCAGACATTTTGTCACCATGCTAGGCAACGTCATCAGTGGAGACTCCGATGTAGTGGTGTTAGTCTACTCCACTTGGAATTTATACTGTCTGGTCCGTTTGAATGCTATTATCAGATTTTCTTAGTGTTCTCAGCTTTAAAGCTTGTCCACTAAAGTGGTTTCTCTTTCGTACCATTATAGTAACTTTGTTGTGGACTTCCTGAAATGTGATCACCACAGTGGAACGCTGTACTCCAGTTGAGGCTAAAACAGGGTTTTCGAAAGATTTTATATAACTTCCTTGCATTATACTGTTAAGTCCTAAAGATTCCCATGTGTTTTTTAAAAAATTGCCTTCTAATAGCACCTTGTGTGCTAATTTTAAAGCGGACTTGCTTAAATGTTACTTAAAATGACAAACTACAAAAACTGGCAGTTTTTGAAGCTGAGGTTGGTGTGAGGGGTTGGGTGGGGTTAATGATAATGACAGCTCCTAGCTGCTTCTGAATGAACTTACATTACCATGGGAATTATTATTTTTTTCATGTGATAACTATGAAAATACCAGTGTTCTTTCAAAACGTATTGACTATAAGTCCTGCACTATTCTGATTACTTACAGCAGAGGACATTCCTAGAGTGCAATTTTTATCCTTTGTAATTGCCTGTTACTAGCTGGCTTTGTGGAGTTGGCATCACTTGAATGGGTTGCAGAATCTATGTGGCTAAAATTGTAAAGCGGGAGAGCTGGGGAAAGGAAACTGTAAACTGAAACAGTGGCAAGTATTCTGTCCCTTTTTTAATGTTTGTAATGGGCAAGCTTGTATGTGCATCCCAATCTGCCTCAACATTTTTCCAAATGCATCTATGCTACTGGAAAGTCTTAGCCTTTCATTCTTCTACCCAGATGTTTACAGAACATTGAATTGCAGGGGGCATCCTTGACTCTGGATGGGAAATAGTTAAATTATGTATACTGGAAAAATTTCAAATTGATTTATTTTTCTAGCAGTGGATTTATCTAGTGTGTTGACACCAGAAATCATGGCTCCTATTCTGGCAAATTCAGAGGTTCAGGAACGATTATTACCATACCTTCCAACAGGAGAGTCGCTGCCTCAGCCTGCAGAAGAAATTCAGAATACATTGACATCTCCTCAGTTTCAACAGGTGTGCATTTTCTTGACTTGCTCAAACCTTTTCAGACTTTAATTTTTCTGCAGTTAATTATTCTGAACATTTGATTTAAATTCCTGTCTAATTGCCCTTTGATCTAAATTGTGCAGCACTAAACATGTTCTAATTAATCCTTACTGAATCCATTTCAAAGTGCCTGTTTGAGAATTCTTTAATGCCAGTTATCTAAATGCAAAGCATTCCTCAGCATGTATCTGCCAAAGGTAAATGGAAATGTGCATGTTTCAAAGGCTAAGTGAGAGTGCTTCACCCCACAAGCTTACCTAGACATAGTCTAATTACTTAATTTAATGCCCAATAATTCATTACACACTGGAGATCTTTATTTTTTTTCCAATGTGCACTCTATCCTAGTTAATTTGCAATGTCTAGTGGTTGGATTTCATTTCTTCACTGAAAGAGTGAAGGTTTCTGAGATTGGAAGTTGAATAAAACCAAATATGTGCACCGTAAATAAAATGCTGCCATTATTGGTGGTGATGAAGGTATCTCTCATGTTGGCCAAGTGTGTCTAGGATACAATACAGTATTCGCTCTAAGCATCTGCAATAAATATTTTATTGGCGGTTTTGTTACAGATCAGTCTTTTTAGGAAAAAAAACACTGTTTATGCAGCACTTGAGAATTTAATGTTCAATGACTTTTTTTTTTCCCAGTACTAGAACTAACTTCACATTTTTGCTAATCTTCAGAGGTTTTTATTTCAGAAATGCAGGTGATAATACTTTATGGAGTTGATAAAACTGACCATACAATTTTAACATCTTTTTTTCCAAAAATTTCTTTAGGCCATGAGCATGTTCAGTGCAGCCCTGGCTTCAGGACAGTTAGGTCCATTAATGAGTCAATTTGGTTTGCCAGCAGAGGCTGTGGAAGCAGCTGGAAAGGGAGGTAAGTGTCTTGTCATATTTTATGACTAGGGCCCAAAGTTGCTGTCATAGTACTGTCTGAATCTTGGGAATGCACTTCATCACAGAGACGGTGGTACTCTTGCATGATTCCATTTGATGTGTGCTTAATACTCAAAGGAAAACCCTCCAAGAGTCTCAAACTTAGCAATGTATGTCCCTTCAGGCTTGTTACAATGGTGACACTACTCTGGCCATTTCCAGGAGGCCTGATGAGCATTAATGGGACACTTGCCTTATCAGTTCCCATTCTCCCAGCTGCCAGCCAGCCAGAAATTGGCAGCACTGCAATACCTGCAGCAACATTTGAGTGGTGGCCACTGCCAGTGCTCCAGTTTAGCTTGCATTGCACCATGGTCACACCAGGAGCAGATGAGTGGGAGAGTTCATGGTACCAGACTAGGATGCCCTAGTGTGATGTTGATGGGCATGTGGCTGTCTGGAAGCCTTCGGCCAAGTTTCTCCATTCCCTGGTGGGTACAGTATCTGAGAAGGAGGGGGCTTCCTATCCACAACAGGCCCCCAGTACAACCCTGGGGAATTTCCTGGCATAGGATGCAGTTATGGCCCTTGCTGGTTGAAGACCAATAATGCCATATGCACCCCCCCCCCCTCCCCCCTAGCTGTGCTATCTCTGTTACAATGTTATGATTATACTTTGAATTCCAAAACTTCATGAAAAATGTGCCTTTGTTTAGTTAAAATCTGTAAGAAAGAGCAATGGGACAAGTATCACTGGTTTGTATCATGCCTTAGTGAGACCTAGGTTGAACCTGGTGTAAAGTGTTTTTTTTTTTTTTTTTTTTTTTTTTTTGTTGTTGTGATTATCCATTTTCCAGAATTGCACTTTGGGTGAGATGTGAATCAAGGGTATGTTTGAGTACAATTTTATTAACTTTAATATTTTGCTGTTATAATGTCTGCTAGTGCTGTAGTATTAATTTTAAAAAAAAAACCTGTCAATAACTAAGACAATGTCTCCCATTTTTGAACCTACTTTTAGTACTTAAATTGACATGAGCCCTGACCCATGATTGAGGGGTATAAGGTGGGAGCTGAGAGTTGTGGAAGACCGGTTTCTTTTTTTTTGACCTGTTCAATCCATGCTATTTAAGTAAATAGTATCTGTTTTCTCATATGGTTTTTCACATCTTGATTAACCAGTTAGGTTGTGCTCACTTTTTTAAAGGGGCCATGCACCTGTCAGCACTCAGTTGGAGCTCCATGGCAGCTTGCCTTGTAACAAAGCGTCAGCTGGAAACACTAGTGCTCTCAACAATAACAGGGAACCCTGTATTAGTTAGTGATAAAGTTTTATAGCAACTTTAAATATAGTGAACCTCCAGCAATGTAACCAATTTGAAATCTAGGATCTTCAAATCTATGTTTTGACTATTGATCTTGGAATGTTCATCTCAACTTTTGTTATTTTGAAAACATTCAAAACTGTAAGTGTAAGGTAACATGATTTAGACCAAATATGACAGCAAAAAGACAGAGTTCTGAGGACATAAGGTCTGTATATTTCTCTTGCCCAACCCCTCCCATAGATGTGGAAGGATTTGCCAAAGCAATGCAACACAATTCTACATCCTCAAAGACAAAACTTGATGATAAGGAAGGAGACAGCGAATCAAAGGACAAAAAGGATGAAGAGGAAGATATGAGTTTGGACTGAAATTATTACCTTACATGTTTCTTGAACACTTATAAAGATGTTAAAGTGAGCTGCATCTAAAAGATTAGTGAAATTGCACATTTGCCTTCTCATCCCTGGAAACTAAGCAATATTAAAGGTTCATTTTAGAGCAAGAAGGCTTTGTGCATTTCAATTCTTTCCCATCTTAAAGGTTTGAACTAGTGTGAAAATTTTAGGCAGCCATGTGTATCTGTACCTGCTGTTTGTTCAGAAGTCAATACTAACAACTTGTGTTCTCCACCTAATCTATCTCCAGTTCTGTATCTTTCCTCAATTACCTGGAGAGTTTTATCACCACGTGAATATATGTCCCCCCTGACTTCAGAGGAAGGAAGTGTTTTACTGTTGCTCCACGTGTGCTTTATTGTTGTGGCTTTTGGGCTTTATTACCTTTCTTAATATAAAAGGATGTCTCTCAACTGTGGCCTGACTAGTAGCAATTTATTATGCTGGCAAACTGTTGATTTGGCTTGTTTGTCCTGTCACTGTCTTGCAAATAATTCCAATAATTACTTTCCAGGGACTTTACATTAGTGAAAGCATATTGAGGCCAAGTCTTTCTAATGATGACTGAACTTTTAAGAGAACTGTATAACAGTTTTTAACTTGTATGCTACTTCAGCTTCAACATGGAGTCAATATGTTAGCAATTATTACAAAGTAACATTACAAGGCCACAATGTCAAGTTAGCAAGTTGTAGTAGTGATGCAATGTATTGTGCTCTAATAGTGCTTTAAAGCAGTGGAACTTCAGTGTGATTAAGCCTCTATTTAGAAAGTTGTTTTTTTTTCCCTCTCTGAAAGCACTTGCTAAAATTAGTCAGTCAGCTGATGCTTTGTAAAAACCTCACCTGGTTGGCAGAATGAAGCCAATGGAAATGTCATTTCGTATTTCTTAGTTGTGACATTTTTATTACATTTGGATAAATTAACACTACACTAGATCAACAGAAAAAGTCATACATTATAAGAATCAATACAAGTTTTATTTTCATTCAAATCTTGTACCAGTGTTCTGCACAATCAGTGCTACAAATGTGAAATAAGGATTTTATTACAAGATAATGTAAAACCAGTGTCACAGGATAAATTTTACCCATTAACATTTTCCTCCCAAAATACCAAATAAAATGTCCATTAAAATAGCTTAAATTTATAAAAATCCACAGCAAGATTCTGAAATACAGTACAAATATTTAAGTGCATAAGTGGATTGGAAATCAACAGTCCTGGTAAAGTGTTCTTGATTTGATTTTTATTCTCTTATTTACAATAGTGGACAACCAATGGTACTAACGCCACCATAGACGGATCCTGGTCGGTTCAATTGTACAAGCTTCTGATTAATTACTAAGTTCTTTACACAGCCAACAAATGAGTAACGTATAGAAGACAACATTGGCATTTGTACTGTCTCTGCAATACAAGAGAATAAGACATTTAAGTACACATGAGTGTTTTCAAAAATCTGTTTATTTTAATTTTTCTATTAACATGAACTTAATCAGTATTGCAATGCTCTAAACATCGCAATCACTTATGCACTTGAAGGTATTTAAAGCTGAGTATACCCTTTTTGTGAACCTTAGTTGAAAGTACTGGGCTATTTTATCGCATCTGGCCTTCACATGAGCTACATAAAGACCTTCTACCACAGTTCTCAGGGAGTGAGAGATATCAAAGTTAAAGGTTCATTTGAAACAATTACATTAACTAAGGTATCACACTGACTTCAGGGAACTCTCCACATGCAATACAAAGCTATTCAACTCTTAAGACATGCACCTGTATAAAAAAAAATCACTTAGTAACTGTTCTCCTTGCAATGTATCTAATAGAACTCACCTGGTACACCTCCTAGATATAATGTCTCTTTGGAATTGATAGGAGGACTCATGAATGGCCCTACTGTGTGGTTACTGTTGCTGTCCACGTCGAGTTGTATCGCATACATCCTTTTAATAACTATTTACAGAAAGGAAACAAATCTGATTATACACTCAATATATTTTAATATATCCATTGGGCCAGTTAGCAAATGGTCTCTGAACCAACCCACAACTAGCTGCCAGGTGGTTGCCTTTTTCTTGACTGCAAACCTGTGGCTGTGCACAGATCATACAGCTTAATTCTTGACAATAGTCATCCAAATCAGCATCTGTCAAATTTTGGTGGAACTATATATGCAAAGTGGGTCATAAGCATTCCCTCATCTCAGGAAATTTTCTCACAATGTAATTGGAACCCAGTGTA